TTATTGTTTGGATGTTTGGATCACCTTTGTAAATAAACTGCACTTGGGTTCTTCACTACACTCGCCTTCAGTGGATGATTCATTACAGAATACACGACCCCAATAATGAACCCAGCAGTTTCACGCCTCCTCTGCCTTCGTCAAGGCGACAGGCCTATTGGAGGACTATGTGGAGGATTTTTGTGAACTTTCTAACCATGTGGATTTTAATGACGTGGTGCTCAAAGACATTTTCCGTCATGGATTAAACGAGCCCATTTGCTCCCAGCTTCCTGGGGGAAAGGTTCACTGGTCCCTTGCCGAGTATATAGACTTTGCTCTGCGGTTGAGTGGATCTGCTTTCACTGTGGGTGTCGTGGAGAAGGAACACGGCACTAAACCAGAGCCAGAGTCTGCTCACGTCACGTCTGCCAAGCCACAGCCTGCTCGCGTCACGCCTGCTACTCCAGGGTCTGCTCACGTCACGCCTGCCAAGCCACAGCCTGCACACGTCATGTCTGCTACGCCAAAGCCTGCTCACGTCATGCCCGCTACTCCAGGACCTGCTCCCATCATGCCAGTTAAGTTAAAGTTTACTCATATCATGTCTACAAATTCAAAGCCTGATCACATCATGTCTGCCAAGCCAGAGTCTGATAACATCATGTCTGCTACCCCAGGGCTTGCTCACGTCATACCTACCAAGCCAGCGCCTGTTCACCTCATGCCTGCTACGCCAAGTCCTCTTCACGTCATGTCGGCCAAGCCAGAGCCTACCCACGTCATGCCTGCCGCGCCCGAGTCCCCGGCCAAGATGGCCGCCGCGCCCGAGTCCCCGGCCAAGATGGCCACCACGCCTGAGTCGGACGCGGAGCTTGGGCCAAGACTGAAAAGACTGATAGCTAGCGTGATGGACTTACCACTGATGTCGGTGAGAGCTGCAGGCATCCCGTTGACGTGACTGAAAAGACTGATTGCTAGTGTGATGGACCCACCTCTAATGTCGGTGCGAGCTGCAGGCATCCCAGTGACATCCGCGCTCTCAAGCCCCGCCATCTTAGAGGTCATGCCACACTCTGCTGCCCTTCCTGTAATGGCGGTCGCCATTTTGAGCGTGTGGGCTGCACACTGCGCTCCAGAGTCCTCTCCTGTCCACGAGTCTGCTCCTGAGGCCTCTTCGGTCCACGAGTCTGCTCCAAGGGCCTCTTCTGTACTTGAATCTGCCCCAGAGGCCTTTCCTGCCTATGAGCCCACCATGGCCCCCCAGTCTGCCTGCTCCGCCATGGCTCCCTGCTCTGCCTGTTCCTCTTCATGGGCCTGGCCCTCCATCCCTCCCCCCAGTTCCGCCTCCACTCCACCACCCTCCTGGATTTTGGGTTTTGTTTGGGCGTCTGGAGCCACCCTTAGAGGGGGGGAAATGTAATGTAGTGTTTGGGTTTTGTGTCATGTTCATGTTTTCATGTCTTTTATTTTGTAATTAGAGTCCTCTTCTGTCCACGAGTCTGCTCCTGAGGCCTCTTCGGTCCACGAGTCTGCTCCAAGGGCCTCTTCTGTACTTGAATCTGCCCCAGAGGCCTTTCCTGCCTATGAGTCTGTCCCTGAGGCCTTTCCTATCCATGAGTCTGCACCAAGGGCCTTTCCTGTGCATGAATCCGCTGCAGAACCTCCTGAGGTGGTGGTGTCCGCTTCCGAACTCACTGCCTGCTCTGTCATGGCCACAGAGGCCGTTCATGAACTCACAGACTGTCTTGTCACAGCCACGGAGGCCGTTCACGAACTCACTGTCTGCCCTGTCACGGCCACAAGTACTAGTAACATTTAAAAAAAATGTTAGATGAACGTCCAACTGAAGTGTTTCAGAAAAAACATTCCATGAATAATGTGTAAGTAATGATTTTGTGCTAACATTGAGAACATTATTAAATACCAGATAACTTTCAATGTATTAACATTACTGGAAGAACATTTGTTCATAACTTTGCCAGAACATTAGCCAAAGGTCTAAGTATATTCCCTGTTAGCTGGGTATGCATTAAAAAAAAAATACTGAAATGTTCAACTATTTTTTATTTTTATTTTTTTAATGCTGATGCAGAATGTTATTCAAACAGATGAAAACTGGTGCGACACTACATATATATATATATATATATATATATATAGGGCTGTCAATCGATTATTTTTTTTTAATCGTGATTAATCGCATGATTGTCACGAGTTAACTCGTGATTAAATCAACTTAAATCACACATTTTTATCTGTTCTAAATGTACCTTAAATGAATACTTTAAGTTTTTAATACTCTAATCAACATGGGCATGGAGAAATATGGATGCTTTATGCAAATGTGTTTATTATTAATTAAACCATACTCAACAGTGCATAAAGAATTCAGATACAGGTTTTCACAAAAGGTCTGCCCTGTCACGGCCACAGAGGCCATTCACGAACTCACTGCCGGTCCTGCTATGGCCAAGGAGATCGTTCACGAACTCACTGCCTGTCCTGCTACGGCCAAGGAGGCCGTGGATGCTTTATGCAAATGTGTTTATTATTAATTAAACCATACTCAACAGTGCATAAAGAATTCAGATACAGGTTTTCACAAAAAAAGTTTTTTTTTAAACCATTTTAAAGAAATTGAATCAAAAGAATATTAATTTAAACAATTATCAATAATTATTATATTAATGAAATAACTATTTTACTGGTTTAATTGTTTAGATTTTTATAATGCATTATCTTCTTATCGATCTACCAGTTCACATTTGCAACTGCGTGTTTGCTGCATAAAAACATGGGTGGATGTTCGCATTGGTCTGAACAGACGGGCTTATAGAAAATGCAAATTCATACTCTGCCAGCAGATGGTGCTGTCGGAACGGCAGAAATAAAGCAGTTTCTCTGACTGTAAACTAAGTGCAGTTAAAATGAATTTGCATTAATGTGTTATCAACGAGTTAATTTTGACATCCCTAATACACACACACACACACACACACACACACAATGTCAAAATTAACTTTATTTATTATCTATATCCATCTCTTGTTGGGTCAACAACCCAAACAAATTACAATTACAAATGATCTGACACCTACGTTGACAATTGTGGATTTGAGATGGATTAAGGGTAATTTGAAATTGGATCATGACCCACTGAACAGAATCATGACGAGCCAAAAGATTCCCACCCAAAACATGCTTTGAACAGAAAAAGTAAACAAAACTCAAATAATGTGTAATTATAAACCATTGGTTGTAGACAACACAAAAACACTGCCTGTGATTTAACAAAGCACATTCACACATCACTCGCGTCCCTGCAATCAGGCCTTTGATTACCACTATTTAAAACTCAAGTGAGCATCTTCATAGCATCTGCATATCATTGACAATATTTACAAACTCCATGCCCTAGCAAAAGCACTAAATTTAGTAGAAAATTGTATGCCAAATATTGAAAACTTGAGATGCTTGTGAAAAAATGCTGATTGATGAGCATGACGGCTACATGTACAGTGAGGAACTCTTCGGGTCACATGTTGTTTACACCCCAGTGCATCAACAAGAATGAAAAAGTCCTTTATCGAAACACAGCCAATTACAGTCATTTTCATCTGCAGCTTGTTTTAAAGGGGTCATATGATGCGATTTCAAGTTTTCCTTTCTCTTTGGAGTGTTACAAGCTGTTAGTGAATTGATAAGATCCCTAAAGTTGCAAAGACTAAAGTCTCAAACCCAAAGAGATATTCTTTATAAAAGTTAAGACTGGTCCACGCCCTCCTAAAACGCCTCGTTTAAACACCCCCCCACGTCTACATCACAATGTGGGAAGATTTGCATAATGCCGCCCAAATGTTCACGCAAAGAAAGAAGGCGTAACTTTGTTGCTGCCACCACCGCCGCCATGTTGTGAAGACGCTGTGAGTTTCGTTGCGAAAGCGAAAATACTTTGTTTGGCCTTCCAAAAGAGGACACGACTAGAAATCAGTGGTTAAGTTGTATTTACAACACTGTTCCAGAACATGGCATCACAGTATGGTAATGGGTGTAACATTTGTCACATGCTTGAGGTATTCGGCCAATCACAACGCACTGGATAGCTGGCCAATCAGAGCACACCTTGCTTTTCAGAACGATGAGCTTTGTAAAAATCAACGCGTTTCAGAAAGGCGGGGCATAAAGGAGAAACAATAATGTACAGTATGTGGAAAATGTGTTTTTTGAACCTTAAACCGCATAAACATTTCATTACACCAAATACACAAAATAATGTTCTTTTTAGCAACATCATATGACCCCTTTAACAGACACATTGAAAACATTAATTGCAGAAAGAACCTTTAAAATCATACCTGCTACAGGTTCCTCCATTACGGCAGGGTTGGTGCTGGCAGGCTGCAGCGTCACAGTTCTGAATATTTTGGCCTCTGATTGCTTCCCCTACCACATACAGCTCTTTGGAGCCCATCTGCAGTTCATGTATGCAGCCAATGAAGCCAGAGACATTCCCAATGTTGTGGTGCATCTCTGAGAGGGATGGAACGCCACCAAGGAATGTGGGGCCGAACACCACCTGAGCGTTGGGAGGAAGAAAGGTGACATATGCTAACAATAATGACTCTTTTATCTTGTTAAAGAGATTCATGTTAAATTAGCCTGCATTTTAAAATACAATACTGTTCAAAATATGGGGTTGGTAAGATGTCTTTTTATTTTTTTTTAAGTGTCTTATGCTCACTAAGGCTGTATTTATTTAATGAAATTTACAGTAAAACTGTAATACTGTAAAATATAATTATATTATATTTAAATAACTTGTCTATTTGAATATATTTAAAAAATTTAATTTATTCTTGCAGCAAAATACCATTACTCCAGTTTTCAGCTACACATGAACCTTCAGAAGTCATTCTAATATGCTGATTTGCTGCTCAAGAAACATTTCTTATTATCAGTATTGAGAATGGTAGAGCTGCTTAATATTTTTGTAGAGACCGTGATACTGTCACTGTTTAACTATTTAATGCATCCTTCTTGAAAAGAGAGAGAGAAAAAAAAAAAAAAACACTGACCTAAAACTTTTGATTGGCAGTGTGTGTTTTGGGATAGTAAAGTGTTAGATTTTGGCAAAAAGCTACATATTGTAGGTTACAATACACTTTATTCTTTCTTACACAAAGATATGTGATTACAGTGTGCAATAACTGTTTTGAAGTCAATGGCTCTTATACCTTGGCAATTATAATCAGAGATAAAAGCAAAGTTTTTATCTTTGAAAGGATTTATGTGGAGCTGCTACAGTAGCTTAAAGGACCTTTTGCTGCTGTATGCATTTAGCAATCATTGTTCATTCATTTAGGTCAAAAGCTAATTATTCTTTTGAAAAAATACAGTTGATTGGTTTTGATCAAGACAAGATTAAACATCTTTCCAATTTTCAATAACATATTAGTGACTCCGTCTGAGATATTTTTTGCCTTCGTAATCATCTATTCTTGCTTAATCATGTTGGCTGGACAACAAACCTTGTACAAACTTTTAAAAGAAAATCTTAAGACAAAAGTATCTTATTTTTCATCAATCTTCTCTTGCTTTTTTTTCTATCCTCAGCAACTGCCCAGTAACAACCCCTTAGCAAGCACATGTATACATATATAACTGTTTTCGAAGTACACAAGGCCTATATAGCTTTCAAACATCACTTCATACCGTCTAACTATTCAAACTACACAAGGCCTATAGAATCATAAGACTTACAACTAACCTTCAAACTGTTTTAAACTTTCAGACTGGGCTTCAAAAGTTTGTCATCTTCTTGGCCATTTGACAGACATTTCGATAAACATCTCCCATAAGGCCTCCAGTGATTTTATTTTATGCAGCTCTATAAATGGATTTGTAAGGCCATTATATTCTGATTAAGTATCTTATAGTCTGTTGAAGGTCTGATTGCAGCACAGCACTCTCTGAGGTTCTCATCAATTAGGACACAAACACAAACCTATTATTTAACTTGAATGATCAAACTTATTTCTGCAACAAATAGCATTACACCTGCTCTCAAGACTGAGGTGCCTTCTTTACAAAAACAACGGCATAATAACCTACCTGCCTGCAAATATATTCTTTTCCTTAACAATAGCCAAAACGCTGTGTAAATGTGGATGTGACAACTTTTAATCCTTCTTGTGTGTGTGTGTGTGTGTGTGTGTGTGTGTGTGTGTGGATACACACATGCATAATATACACACATTTTTGAAATTTCTATAATTTTCTTTTAATTGTTCTTATGTTAAAATGGTTAAAGAATGGTTAAAGTAAATCAGACAATTCATAGATAAATTATAGATCGTCAGAGTCATTCAAATGATCGAATATGCAGAAGCAGGTTTACCTCTGACACAGGCTGATCCATATATTTCTGCTGCCGATTAGCAGTTCCATTAGCAACATCTATTTCAATGATACAGAGACGGTCATTGTCACGAGATGGCAATGCATATCTAAAAGAGAGAGAGACAGAGAGAAGGGAATACAGATCAAGAATAAGAGAGTAAGACAGAAACAGGGCATAGGATGGAGGAAGGAAAATCTCAGTAGATCATGCAGCATTCACAATAAAGCCATTTAAGCATGAAAACAACACAAATTGGTGAAGGGAGTTCTGGGATACTACTAGGACACTCCACGGAAGAAAAATCACCTCAAACTCCTAAACAAGCAGTAAAAATATTCATCTTCCGAGCTTGTGTTCTGTCTCCATCCTTTGTTATTCTGCTACTCCAGCAATATATTTTCTCAATCTCAAACCGTCAAAAGACAACTCCTTCCTGCTCACAGACTGAAAAATAATCCATTTCACGAACGTAATGCAACAGTAAAAGCTGCTTAATGTTTCAACAATCTCCCCCACGAAGCTTTCAACTGTGTCTTCGCCTATATCCTGACATGATCCAACTGTTATTCTGCAAAAAACATCACCATCCTCACAAAAAAATACATACAAACATTTAATTGGCGTCCATATGCAAAAGTCATGGATTTCCTCGCTGTCCAATCAGCTCAAGACTCAAGACTTGCTTATTCGAGCACCAGCTTTTGATTTCAGCCCATGTTGAGTTCAGGGCAAGGAGGGGAGAAAAATCCCCTCTCCTTTAATGACCAGATGTGAGCAATCAAGGTGATTGCCCTCATGCTAATTTGAAACAGCCTTGCAGGACACCTCCCTGAAGGCAATCAAAGCCCTACAACTTCAGGTAGCACTAATTACAACACTGGGGAAGTTATGAGAGTCGCTATGCATACAGATTGACAAATTAATGCCCGATTGGGATTATGAGAAGGAAATTCAACATGACTGACAGCACCGCCGCTGAACCGGTATTGCTGATGAATCCTGAACATAAGGACATGAGCTGATTCGATTGTTCGTGGAGGCTCCTGCAACGACTTTAATATTCTGATATTAGTCCAAGTAGCGTGATGTTATGAGGTGCTAATTATTTTAATCATGGCTCAATAATCACTTTAGGTGCATTGGACAGCTGTTTGCATTTATAGAGACTTCTCATCAGGTTTAATGTGTCCTATATGATATGATGATTTCAGCGTTGGCAGTAAATGCAGGAGCATGTATGGACTATTTTAACACAAAAGATATTTTGAAAAACTAAAAAAATGTGTTTTTACAGTTAACTATAGTTAACTAAAACTGAAACGAAAACCACAAAAAAAAATCTTTATTGAAATAAACTGAAAAAAAAAAAAAATACTAGTTGCCAAATTTTAATTTAGTTTACCCTGATGTACAAACATATGTAAAAATAAAACAAAAAATGTATTGTCATCTTTAAAAAAAATACAAAAAATGTAAAGGAAAAACCCTCCACTAAAAACACTTTAAAAATAACTAAAATTAAAATGAAAACAAAATATAAAAACTGATTCAAAATATTAATTAAAACTACATTAGTATTTCAGTACTACTAAAATAACACCAGTTTAACAAATTAATGGCATGCGATTTTCAAGCAGTATTGTGGGCAATTGTGTTTAAAACGAAACTCCTTCCCAGCTCATGTAACTGTTTTCTTCTCCAGACACATTTAAATGCCACCCACTGAGATCTACAGGGGTTCAGAGCATTAAATCAAATGAACCACAGGCAACAAAGAGAGAGTAAAAAAAAAAGACAGATTCCACAAACACCCACATTACATTTCCGCTGGACAGTACGAACATGATGTTAAAAAGGATTTAAATGTCACTTTATAAAGTGTGGCAGATGACACAATCTTAAATGGCTAGATGCTACCAAATGGCAAAGACGGCTAATATTTCTCAAGGTGCATATTAAAAAGATCTAAAGGAACATCTAGTGCAGCGCTCCAGTGTCTGTGCTGTGTCTGAGCATGACTGTGATGATCTAACTGGGCGCTGCTGTCATTCTTTCTGATGAGCTCTTGTGGACACATGGATCAGTGACTTGTGGAGATCAGTCAGATCTCATTATCTGTTTACTTTAATGGAAAACTTTTATTTCTTATAAAGCACAAAGCATATACACTTCAATTCAAAAGTTTGGGGATTTTTTAAATATTTGTGAAAGAAGAGTTTTATGCTCACCAAGGCTGCATTTATTTGATCAGAAATCCAGTACAAAATAGTAATATTGTGAAATAGTTTTGCAGTTTTAAATAACTCTTTTATATTTAAATATGTTTTAAAATGTAATTTATTTCTGTGATGAAAAAGCTGAATTTTCAGCAGCCATTACTCCAGTCTTCAGCAATAACAAGTAGCAAATAAATTATTTTGATATGTTCCATCCATTTGCACAAAAAACACATTCTATTTAATGGGCTCTTTTTAAAAACCATGAATACATTTATAATAACTGATGACATGAATACACTGTGAATCCTGAACTGATTCATTTTAATTCATATAAAATGTGACCAGGGCAGTCAAAACTGAGAGAAAACACTGTATTTCTAAGTCTACAGGATAATTCAAAGTGTCACCCTGCCTGAAACCAGCCACGTGTCAGGTATAGAAATATGCCTTATCAAAATTGTATAACCCCTCAGAACACCCTTTTCTTTTTCTTTTTCATTATTTAGTTATTCTCTTAAATGACAATCAAATCAAAATGGACTCGTTGAGTGCAAAGATAGAAAATGTGAGTTAACTTGCCACCATAATGCTGGGCTGTTATTCATGGTTGCCATGGTGTTGGCACGCAGTTGCTAAGGTGGTTTTAGTCACTGCCATTTGTTTGCTATGCTGTTATGGGTTGCTAGGCATTCCACCACCCATATTTACTACTAAAAAACTACTTATTTTAAAAAGATGTGGTTCCTTTATAATATCATAGATTTATATTTTACTGGTAAAATATGTCATTGCTCAGAGGGTTTGTGGAGGTGATTCTGTGTAAATGTGCTCAGACCTGATGCAACATCGTGACATCTCTCTCTCACACACACACACATTACTCGACAACTATGTAATCTAAAAGCTGAATATAATTGCAGTTCATGCCACAGTTCACTAGAATGGATGCTGGGAGACGCAGAGCATCGCGGGGCCACTATTGGTCTGACTACAAAACATGTATAAAGCACTGGCAACAGATGGCAGTAAAACATCATGAAGCTGCAGTTCTGAAAGTACAAACGCACACACACACTGCTACTTCTTTATAGGTGGACGTGAAAACAAAGGCAGAAATTAGAGAGGACTTTTACTTCATACCACATTGCAAGTCCAACAGGAACAGCAATAATAACAAGTGGCGATATGACGGGTGATAATTGCACACAGAAAAACCATCAACACAATTCCCTGTTGGCCCACGGATAATGTACAGAAAAAATATGTTTATGCTAATTAAGGGCTGTTAAATAGATCTACAATTCTTGAATTAATTCATGCATCCACTTCGACCTGCTCTTCATCTGAATGAGAGCCATTAAGAGCCACAATTGCAGCCACTCATTGATCATTTTTATCACATTGTCCACAACATGTCAATAGCTCAAACTGACTGTGTCATCATAAGCAACCTAAGATGAATACAGAACTGAAGAGTTTTGTTCCCACATGCATGTTTTCTGAGAGGTGCGCAAAAGCCGGTGGCGATAATGGTGCTTCCCTTGATCACCCCCTCCGAGGGAGCCGATAAAGACAGGCGCAGCCCCTTAGACTCGCTCAAACAGCTGCACTGACTTTCTTGCATTAAAGCATCAAGCCAATTTTTGCATAACAAGCTCACTCGAATGGCTTCAGTTATTTTGGGCAGCCTGTGTTCTTAGTCATGTCTCCAGCTGATCTTCCAGACCCAAATTACAGGCGGCGTGCTTTCTACGGCTTTGAGACGCTGCTCCAGATGAGGTATTTTGAGAGTAGTCTGACTACTTGCCTGATTAAAAATAACAATGCTTACAGCCTGCCAGACACAAATATTACTTTCAGAAAGCTGGTATATTTTACAAGCATGCATGAAAGAAAAATTTGAGGAGTAGCTGCATTGGGAATATGGTGATTACAGTAAGGCTCTTTTAGAGACTCTGCAATTGTAAATCGGCAATTACGCCCTACGGCTTTGAGACGCTGCTCCAGATGAGGTATTTTGAGAGTAGTCTGACTACTTGCCTGATTAAAAATAACAATGCTTACAGCCTGCCAGACACAAATATTACTTTCAGAAAGCTGGTATATTTTACAAGCATGCATGAAAGAAAAATTTGAGGAGTAGCTGCATTGGGAATATGGTGATTACAGTAAGGCTCTTTTAGAGACTCTGCAATTGTAAATCGGCAATTGTTCCAATCCCCAATAGTGGCCTGCAAAATGGACTGCAAATGGTTATTTGGTGCATGAGATGTGATTGTGGCCATTATCATGACATGCACTATGACGAAGTTAAGGACACATGTAAATTGCATGTATTTTCATATTAAACATTGCAAACGCTGTGTAAATTTATGTAAATATGCTGTATATATTTACATTTTATATATATATATATATATATATATATATACACTGTATATATAACATTTAAGTATTAAGAAATTAATACTTTTATTCAGCAGGGATACATTAAATATTTAATTGAATGAAAAGTGACAGTATAATGGTTTCCACTAAAATATTAAGCAGCTCAGCTGTTTTTACACTGATTATAGTAAAAAAAAAAAGTATAAAAAAATATTAGAATGATTCTTGAAGGATCACATGGCACTTAAGACTGAAGTAATGTCTGCTGAAAATTCAGCTTTGCATCAAAGGAATAAATTACATTTTAAAATATAATAAAATAAAAATGTGTTATTTTAAATTGTAATAATATTTCAAAACATTACTGTTTTTACTGTATGTTTTAACAGACAGACAGACAGACAGACAGATAGATAGATAGATAGATAGATAGATAGATAGATGAACTACACAGAGAAGGAAGGAGCTCTTGCAAATTTTCTGTTTGAGCACATTGTCT